TAGATTCTTCCATGGTCTACATTCCGAATGAATCTTTCCGTAACTACTCCTTACAATGCTGATTTTGACGGAGATGAAATGAATTTGCATTTACCACAGTCGTTAGAAACAAGAGCGGAGATTGAGGAGATTGCAATGGTGCCAAGGTATAAACTGCTATGGTTGGACTGCTGACTCGCTTATCACTGGTTTTCAGGCAACTTATCACTCCACAGTCAAATAAACCTGTAATGGGTATCGTGCAGGACACATTATGCGCAGTGCGAATGATGACAAAGCGAGATGTTTATATTGACTATGTAAGTTGACACAATAGCTGTGCATGATTGGAACATTATGCTTATTTAGCCCCGTATGATGGATCTACTCATGTACTTACCAACTTGGGAAGGCAAAGTTCCACAGCCAGCCATTATGAAACCGAAACCGTTGTGGACGGGAAAACAGCTTTTTTCGCTTATCATTCCCGGAAACGTGAATGTGCTGAGAACACATAGCACCCATCCAGACGACGAGGACAGTGGTCCTTATAAATGGATCTCGCCTGGTGATACGAAGGTTTGCTAGTTTCTTTGTTTTTCGCTGGATACTGCCTAGCTTTTTCTTTTAGGTGTTGGTCGAACATGGAGAACTAATTTCTGGTATTATTTGCTCAAAAACAGTTGGGCGTTCTGCTGGTAACCTTCTTCACGTCGTTGCTCTTGAGCTTGGACATGAGGTCAGTTGCTAATGGTTCTGCTGATCAGTGCATCATCTGTGTCTTTATATAGGTGGCCGCTAAATTCTATTCACATATTCAAACCGTCATAAATGCATGGTTGCTAGGAGAGGGCCACACTATTGGCATAGGTATGACGTCCCCTCCACATTCAGGAACTGTGTTGTAAAGATCAGTACTTCTAGGTGATACCATCGCCGATCAAGCAACATATCGCGACATCCAGGATTCGATTCGAAAAGCGAAGCTTGATGTGATTGACGTCATTGAAAAGTTCGTGACATTTGACATCCACTACAGCATCATTTATCACATGTTTTCAGAGCTCACAATGATGATCTTGAACCAACGCCTGGTAATACGCTGCGTCAGACTTTTGAAAATAAAGTGAACAGAATTTTGAACGACGCTCGTGATAAAACAGGAAGCTCAGCCCAAAAGTCTCTGTCCGGTTAGTTCATCGTTAATTGCTGATTATGTTATCGTCGTAGTTCGGATTAGTGAACGCGTCTCTTCTTCAGACTCATCTTTTGAAAACTTTTTCTCGTCAGTGATGAACAGTCTTAGTCTTCCCATATTTAGATTTCAACAACTTCAAATCCATGGTAGTATCTGGCTCGAAAGGATCTAAAATTAATATCTCCCAGGCAAGTGGATGTATCGTACATTTTATACTGCCATACTTATCTATCAATTCTCAGGTCATTGCTTGTGTCGGCCAACAGAACGTTGAAGGAAAGCGTATTCCATTCGGTTTCCGTCATCGGACGTTGCCGCACTTCATTAAGGATGACTATGGGCCAGAATCGAAAGGGTACGAAGTGGTGAATGTTGTGCAAATTCGTACTCATCATCTTCAACTTCAGGTTTGTGGAAAACTCCTATCTTGCTGGACTGACTCCTGCTGAATTCTTCTTCCACGCTATGGGAGGTCGTGAGGGTCTAATTGATACTGCCGTAAAAACGGCCGAAACTGGATACATCCAGCGTCGTTTGATCAAAGCTATGGAGAGCGTTATGGTCAATTACGATGGAACGGTAAGCTGAGCGCTTTTGTAGTTTTCTTCCCACTGTGTATTTTCTGCGTCACATATCTTCATTATAGGTGCGAAACTCGTTGGCACAAATGATCCAGCTGAGATATGGAGAAGATGGATTAGATGGCATGTGGGTAGAAAATCAGAGCATGCCTACTATGAAGCCAACAAACGCGTTGTTTGAACGAGATTTCAAGGTATTTTTTACTGGTCAAACTGTGACAAAAAAA